CCTCCCTCCCTCCCTCCCTCCCTCCTTCCCTTTTTTTGAGACAGGGATTCTCTGTGTAGCTTTGGAGCCTATCTTGGAACTTTGTAGACCAGGCTAGCCTCAAACTTACAGAGGTCCATATGCCTCTTGTTTCCCAATTGCTGGGATTAAAGGTGTGTACCACCACCACCTGGCCTCTTAGTGTCATTCTGCCCCCCCATGTGAATTAAGTTTTGGTATTCTATATATAGCTCACTTTCTTAGTAGCTTTCGTATCAAATGATACAAACCTGAAGTCTAAAAATACTTGTCTTACCTTTTTAGGAAATTTCTGCTTGTTTGTAAATGATTAGCTGAAAATAAGAGTATTGTCCAGCAGCCAAGGATACAGCTATATTTAGAGGAGGGAACACTGTCATGTGTATGGTTTTCTAAGAACACATTTTTTAAAATTTATATTTTATGTATAAATGCTCTGCATGACAGAAGAGGGCATCAGATCCTATTATAGATGGTCATGCACCATGTGGGTGCTGGGAATTGAACCCAGGTCCTCTGGAAAGAGCAGCCAGTGCTCTTAACCACTAAGCCATCTCTCCAGTCTCCAGCTCCTTTTTTTTTCTTATTTGTTTTTGTTTGTTTTTTGAGATAGGGTTTCTCTGTGTAACAGCCCTGGCTGTCCTAGAACTCATTATGTAGACCACGATTGCCTGTTTCTGCCTCCTAAGTGCTGGAATTAAAGGTGTGTGCCACCACTGCATGGCAAAGAGCACATTTTTGAACATTAAATTCTGTTGATATTATAATTTTTATTTATATTTTAGCCTTGTCCTGAAAGCTTTAAAAAAATACAACTCATAGAAAAACTAAATGTTTTCATTATTAAAATTATCCTTATCTCAGGGTCTTGTAAATAGCTCATAACAAGTGTATTTTATAAGTCAAGCATTTGTATGGGCAGGAATGTGTAGTGACAAGTCATGTCTCCATTAAAAGATAAGACAATGAATTTCTAGCACTTCTAGGACATTGAGAAGACACACACACAGAGAGAGAACTCTTTCTTACTTGAACTGCTCATAAACAGATTGGAGTAAAGGGCCATGGACACAGGTATGGTATTCCTGCCCCTGTGTGTTGACCCTACTTGAAATGGAATACAGGTTTCAGGCTTACGGTAAAAGGGGAGAGCAAGAGCTCTGTCTTTGTGGCTGGAGTAACTTAGTTGATGTGTTAGAGTTGAAGATGGCATTTCCTCTGGCCCAGGAATCCAGATAAATAGTTCAGGGCACTGCCAAGGAATCTGTGTTGTATTACTGTTCTATGGATACCAAACTTTGTGTTTTCCATACAGTATAAAGTGCTGGCATTGTGCATAGTAATGCAGACCAGCCCACTTAGGTCTGGAATCATTGTCTTTTTTCCTGGCACAACAAACTACTTTTGATCAAGAAGGTATGCTTAGGAAGAGGGAACACACAGATAGAGGAAGTGTACTTGGTTTTTAGTCTGAGGAAGGTGGTGAGTGTGTTTTTTTTCCCCATTCGCTGGGGTCTGGCCTCATAATCTTACTCACTTACTCAAGTTTGAAAAGAATTGGTGCACAGGAAATGGTGGAAGGGGAAAAAGAAGTCACTGTGCCAAGGCTAGGAGGGCCATTGCTTTAGGCTATCAACTTTCTAGAATAGGAATAGTACCATTGAGTAAACAAATTTTTACTTGGGTTGGGGAGGGCAAGGGAATTAAAACATTTGCAAATTTTAGAAGATGGGAGCAATAAAAAACCCAAACAAAACTTAATCCCTTCTCCTAAACATAAATTTTATAGTACTTGATAGAAACATTCATATTTGGTATTTCTTAAAAATCCCTTCTCTTTTTTTTCTTTTAAAACACTTTTTTTTTCAAACTCATTACTATATTGACTTTCTCTGCCCTATGTTGGAATAAGAAACTGCAATGGGGAGGAAGTGGTACCCATTTACTAATAGTTGACTCAGCTATCCTGAGTTAGGCTCCTAGTACAAAGAATTAATTTCTACATATATTTCATTAGCATGGTTTAAGGTGAGCCTGCATTTCTAGGGATAGTTCTTGACCAGGAGATTGACCTGCCTTCATTAGATTCTTAGGTGGAATCATTGCCCTTTGATGTGTAAAGGAGGAGCTTGTCTTCCTTCAGGTGAAGTACCCAGAATGAAGGGCTCCAGGAAGCATTACAGTGTTGCTATATGGATTTTTTAAAATGTAGCATTTGCATGTAATGTTTGTGATATGCATTCAGGCAGTTGCAAATCTGCTATGCATATTTGTATGCTCTTGGCAGTTCTGAGAGCTTGTTAGACCTTTTTGTTGTTACTGAGTTTACTTATTTTCAGTGTCTATTGTGAATTAAAATTTGTTTTATCACTGCCAAAAAATAAAGTTCACTTTGGAACACAGTCTCAGAAATTTCTTTTACGTGTTATCCAAGGCCAATTTTGTATCACAAAGGCAGAATTGAATAGTGACAGAGATCAGGGAACCTGGAAACTTAATATTTGCTATTTGATTCTTTACAGACAGATTGTTTCCAGTACCTAGGTTAGAGGAAGACAGAAAATTAGAAGGTTTTGGGGACCTTTCTCCTCTGGATCACTCCTTTCCTCCTTATTACCTTCATATTTATGCTTTTATCCTATCTTTTAAATACTTATTTACTGAAATTCACCCTATAACCAAATAAAATGTTCTATGTAAGCTCTCCAAAATAACTCTAAACCTACAACAGCTCCATTTGTTCCTGAAACATATGTAAGAAAGAGATCTTTTAGATGCTGTGGAGAAACTGGCTAAAGGGGACCTCCATCCATTTTCTGTTTTCTCCTGTCCCCTTCCTTTGATGCTGTGTAGTTCCCTGCTATTTTTAGTTCATTTTAATACATCAGTTCTGGCAATGGGACTAGTCAATGACACTATAAATCAATGCTATGCCCATTTCCTCTTATTGACCCATTGTTTCTCCTGCCTGCATTTCCCCCATACCACAACATTCCCAGAAAATCTCTTGGTTTAATTCTGTTACCAAAACATCTGCTTCTAGCTCTCTAACAGTTATTTCTGAAGTCTCTTCAAGAATGCAGGACAGCAATTGCATGATCTGTTGCAACCTATCAAGTTAGACTCTTCCCCTGCTATATGACCAGAAGACTCTCAATGAACCCAGAACTACCCACTCTGGCAAGTACCCTCTTCAGCAAAAACCAGCTATAATGTTCCTGCTGTATATTCTTATTATCGTAGAGTTAGGAATGTTAGTTTCCTACTAAAAGATTATACTTTCCACTTTCCCTTGTGGCCAGACCAATCAGCTCCAGAAAGCAAGGGACTATGGTGTAGTTCCTCTCATGTAAGGGTCTGCATCCCGTCTTATGTAGTGTTTATGGCATCCACACAAATGGGTGACACCATGGCGCCTTGCCATGATTAAACATGGTCCCACCTATGCTGGGTAGTTTCTATGCCAACTTGACAATTTAAGGCCATCTGAGAGGAGGGAATCTCAATTTTAAAAATGCCTACGTAAGATGATGTTGTAGGCAGGTTTTTAAGGCGTTTTCTTAATTAGTGATTGAGATGGGAGGAAGCCCAGCCCATTGTGGGTGGTGCCATCCCTGGGCTGCTGCTGGTCATGGGTTCTACAAGAAAGCAAGGTAAGCAGGCCATGAGAAGTAAGCCAGTAAGCAGCTCCCCTCCATGGTCACTGCATCAGCTCCAGGTTCTTGCCCTGCTTTTAAGTTCCTGTCCTGATTTCCTTTGATGATGAACAATGAAACTAAATAAACTTGTTTCCTCCCCAACTTGCTTTTTGATCATGGTGTTCCATCACAGCAATAGAAACACTAAGGCACGGCTGGAGAGATGGCTCAGCGGTTAAGAGCACTGACTGTTCTTCCAGAAGTCCTGAGTTCAATTCCCAGCAACCACATGGTGGCTCACAACCACCTTGAATGAGATCTGGTGCCGTCTGCTGGCATGCATTCAGAAGACTGTATACATAATAAATAAATGAAATCTTAAAAAAAAAGAAATGCTAAGGCACCACCTAAGGTCAGACCTAGTTTCTCATTCCTTCTGCCTCTGTCTCTACAGCTTTCTCAGTAATCTAACAAAGCTGAAGTGGGGTAGGACACTTCAGATTAGATAGGCACAACAGATTTGAGAGCTGTGAGGAGATGGATTGCTAGACCTTGATGGCTTCATGTTCATGTCACACAAAAATATGTATTTATGAAGGTCAGACTTCATAAAAGCATCCCTTCAAGAGTTTTTTTTGTGTGTGTGTTTTTTGTTTTGTTTTTAACTCCCATGGGTACAAAACAAAGTGCTGTGGGCTAGATTTCAGCTCCACTCATCCTTTTGACCAAACAACTTTATGCAGCTCACAGCTTACAAAACTGTACATAATGGTACTAACAAAGGCCGAATGATGCCAATTGACAGAGTTGTTTTTGA